AAAAAGACTAGTATATTATTTTTTTTGATTTAGCTTGTTTAAAGTGTCCAAAATGGCACATAAAAAATTTTACGAATGTACCCATGCTATCACCAGATGATTTTGAATTTTTACGTATTATTGGATCTGGGGCATTTGGAAAGGTGTTTTTGGCAAAATATAAGAGAAACGACAGTTATTTTGCAATTAAGCAAATGGAAATTTTATCTCTAAAGCTCAACAGACAGATGGACAGTATTGTCAATGAATCATCAATTCTGGAAGAAGTTCGCTCTTGTCCATTTATTGTAAAATTTTTAAATACGATTCATACGAAAGAGCACATATTTATTGTGATGGAATATGTTAAAGGTGGGGAGTTGTTCTACTATTTGAAAAAATATAATACCTTACCAGTCTTTGCGGTTCAATTCTTCGCAGGTGAAATTATTATTGCCCTTAAATATATGCATGATAGAGGAATTCTTTACAGGGATTTAAAGCCTGAAAATATTTTATTAACCGAAAATGGGCATATTAAATTGGCAGACTTTGGATTTGCAACGAGAATGAACGAGAATGTATTTACTTTATGTGGTACACCGGAGTACATGGCACCAGAAAAATTATTGGGCAATGGTGATTCTACAGTTACAGACTATTGGTCTTTAGGATGTCTGATATACGAAATGCTTTTAGGAGAGCCTCCATTTTATGCCGAAGTGCCACAGTTGATTTATAAGAAAGTGATAAGCGAAGAGGTAAAAATTCCATACGGACTCTCTTCAGAGGCAAAAGACCTACTAATACGATTACTTGCGAAGAATAGATGCAATAGATTGGGTTTTAACGGAACTGAGGAGATTATGAAGCATCCTTTTTTTTATGGAGTGGATTGGAATCGAGTGAAGGATTCAGACTATAAATCGCCTTTTCAGGTGGAGATTAATCAATTTGAGAGTCTTCAATCCGAAGATTTTGAGAGGGAAAAGCTACCTACCAAAACATCCAGTAGTTATAGACGAATCTTTAGGATACGAAAAGATGAGTAGTAAATTCGAAAGATCTAGCAAATGATACAACTTAAAAGGTAAAGTAAAAAAAGTATCCCTGCGAATCTCATATAAATACGAGCCAACAATACACTATGATAAGTTCGGTATATATAAAGGGTTTTTAACAAATTGATATTACAAACAATAGCTTAAATCAATACACTATATAGAGATAGATGTACATTAAATAGATTCTTATTCCTTGAATCTTTGAGTATGAAGAACAAGTAATTAACTTGAAGATACTTTTAATTTGATGAGTAGGCATTTATTCAAAACTCTTATAAATAATGCTACTGTGAAAGAATAATACAATATTAGGTGTTATTGAAAATCTTCGTGATATATAATTTGAGATATGGCCATTAACAAAATTCTTCTAATTTATAATTAAGTGTGAAGACAGTCACTAAGTGCTTTCTACCTCACTTTAGACTTGCAAAAGATCCTCATACTAAACAGATTATTATTGTTTGAATCAAGTTTGTTGGATAATGAAAATAGAAGTTTCGATATATTTATTTAAAATTTCATAAACGCATATTATATATCATAACCAAATATTTTTAAGAAAGCATTTGTATTTTCTTAAT